ACAAGAGATTGAGTCCCAAATCGGAGACCGAATGCCAACACATGAGGACAGGAATCGATGCCATTATGTCATGGCTTTCATCGCTGAGACACTGAGATTCAGAAATGTTGTTCCCACAGGAGTTGCGCATAAAACACTTGTTAATACCAAACTTGGTATTAAATTTAACATAGTTTTAATTAATAAAAATTTAATATTTGTCAATTAAACTATAAGATTATGACATTATATTTCCATTCTAGATAAATACACAATACCTGAAAATATGTCAGTTATGGTATATCAAGGAATCATATGTCGTAATGAAAAAGATTGGCAAAATGCCGATGAATTCACACCCGAGAGGTTTATTGATAGTGAAGGACAATACATAACAACCCGTCCCAAAGCATTCATACCCTTCGGTGTGGGCCGTCGTGTCTGTGCGGGAGAGAAGTTAGCCATCGCTGACCTGTTCCTGGTTTTGGTCCGATTTCTTCAGTCCACACAAGACTACGATATAGTGCTCGACAGTAACGATGGTATAGAATATAATCCTAATATTCCGGAACACTTGAGTCCTCCTCCATATAACATTAAATTAATAAAATTATAATATTGTTTTGAATATTTTATTAATATTTTTAAAATTCGTATATATAAAATACGTATTATAGACTATAACTTATAGTACAATTAATTAAACAAATAAAATAAGATGTAGGTAAAATTAAATCATCATTAAAATAAGTTATTATAAAGTTTACTTTATTTATCATCACTTCATACTGTTTATATTTAATCTTTATCAATATTTCAAATTAAAATCTACCCCGCTCATGTACGGCAACATTGTAAACATATCAGGTTCGAACCTTTCGAGATCAGTCTTTTAAATCATAATCACCTGATTTGAACCATTCATGGCATTCAGTGATAACCAGTACAGCACTGAAGACTGAAATACTATTCTTGTGATCCTCGAAGGCATTCCTCTTAAGCTAATACTTATATCGCAGACAATGCCCGACGTATGAGAATAGAATTACTGATAACAGTATAAGATTTCTATAAAAAATAAATAACATATACAGTAAATATTATCAGTTTATCATGTTTTCTATGTACTGGAATTATTAAATACAGTGTATGTGCACTAAATGTTATATAATGTGTTATATAAAATAGCTTTATTGTTATTATTCATCACGTTAAACAATTTTATTATATAAAATGATCATGTTTATACACAACAGTTCATGTTTACGTTTTCACCAAACAATAATCATGTAATCAACGATTTCATTTAAATCACAAATGTGTAATAAAACTACAATAATAATAAAATACTTATTTTACAATAATCTATTATTTGGGTGAGACTGAAAGGTTGGATAAAACTTTTATATATACGGCAAGTATTTTTAGACGATTTAGTGATAATAATCTGCTATTAGAAAGTTTTTTGACCAGGATGGAATTGAGATAATATAAGTATGGTTATTTACTTATCATATTTTTATTAAATTATGATTGTCATAAATTTTGTGAAATAATTATAAGTATAAGTATAAACACCTCAGCTCATTTATTACTTTGTTTCAATATTAAATATTTTTATTTACATAATTTTATACTGTAGATTTATTAAATCTTGGTTAAATAACTAAAACGTGAATTGATTCATTAAAACGCAATGAAAGAGTGTAACAAAATGAAATAATTAAATAAATAGGATGTTACACAAAATATTAATACTATTTGGTAAAACTTTGTAAACGGATTTTATTTTTGTGTATAAATACAGTGTTTTTTCACAGACATAAACAATTAATTTCTCAAATAAAATCTCTAAAACCTATGGTAAGTTTTCTTGTAAAAAGTGAGCCATAAATATTAAATTTAATTAAATTTCTATTACTAGATAATTGGTAAAAACATTTTTAAAAATCAAAACTCAAAATGAATGGTAAAGTGATATCAATGGTTGTAATGATGGGACTGTTGGCCACAGTTTGCGTGAGTCTACCCACTGTTAACCTACCGGAGCAACAATTTTACCATCACATCAATGGCAGCACATGTTATGGGGAACAACACAAGCCATCGGTTGACCAAAGTTATTATGGTGGATGTTGGCGGGTATGTGTTCAGAGCAAAGGCGGTTTAGTGTGCTATACTAAATGTAATTGAATCACATTTACTGTTTGTAATAATCTTTGACTAAATAATTTAACAATATTTTAAACACCAATCATGTATTAATTTACAACAGTTTTAATTGATTGTGTAAACGATTATATAAATAAAAAACAAAAACAATTTATTGAAATAAAATACAAGTTTATTAATGAATCAATGTTAGTTTTAAAGTTATGAAATATATTTCAACCTCGAGTAGTCTGTCGTGATTTTTGAACAAGTTTAATTTGGTATGGTTTGGGATTTATAGTGTCAGCAATATTAGGGTCGGGGTCTATACCCAAGTGTTTGGCCAAAACTATATCGTATTGTTGTGTCGATTGAAGAAATGAGACCAAAACCAAGAACAGGTCAGCGATGGCTAACTTCTCGCCCAAACAGACCCGACGGCCCACACCGAAGGGTATGAATGCCTTATTATGAGATGTCATGTATTGGCCGTCACTGTCTAGAAATCGCTCCGGTATTAACTGATTGGGATTTTCCCAATATTTTGGATTGTTTAGTATATTGTGATGATATAAAGTGACGGCCGTATCCTTTGGCACAGTATAATCACCTTTAGTTTAAAAGAGTATTGATTAGTATTAAATTGAGATTAAATAAAATGTAAATTAATACCTATTTTTGTCTGGACAACAGTTTTATGCAATGGACTCATGGGAACCACATTCCGGAATCTCATAGCCTCTGCGATGAAAGCCATGACATAATGGCATCGATTCCTGTCCTCATGTGTTGGCATTCGGTCTCCGATTTGGGACTCAATCTCTTGTCTTAACTTTTTTTGAATTTCCGGATAATAGCAGAGGAATAACAAAAGCCATTGAAATGTCTGCTGAGACGTATCGGTTCCGGCGAAGAACAGATCAAATATAGTTAGCGCTAAGTTATCGTCCGTGAGATAAGGGGCCGACTCTTTGCCGTCTCTGAGGGCGTCATTCTTAGCACTGATGAGTGCATCGCAAAAGTCTCGTTGAGAGGACTCGTCAAAGTCCTCGTAGTGTTTGACAAACTTATTCTTCAGCATATCTACCATTTCATTCATAATCCTTTCCTGTTTGTCAGCCATGCCTTTGAACGCATACCGGGCCACTGGTAGCACTTGTAAAATCATAAACTTCATACTATTTTCACGTATAAAATCTTTCATAACATATTTGAGTTGTTTATACTCTTTGTTATTCATTTCGTAACTATAATTTTAAAAAAATAATTTTTAAATATAATTAAGACAATTAAAATTCACTTCAATTAATTGCAAACCTTTTGCCAAAAGCACTGGTGGACAGAATATTGAAAAACATTTGATAGACATAATTGGTGGCAACGAATGGCTTATTGAGTCCCTCGTTGTCGACCATCAACTTTACCGTCTGCTCCACACAATCCTTTGCCAGTAATACTAGTTTATCACTCGCAGAGTATTTCCTAATCACCAAATTGACCATAAGTCAAATTAACATCAATTATGAACAAATGAAAAATAATAAAACACTTACTGAACGGCTGAATGTCCGACACGTCTGAGCGCTTCCCACGTATGGCCGTAATCGGCGCCCACTATATCAGATCGGTTCCCATTATTTATTATTTTAACTATAAAGAAAAATAATTAATACAATTTTGTGATAATTCAATAATCAAAAGCATTAAGATTGCTATAAAATCACCATGGTCATACTACTTACAAAAATAGATTTGCCACCGACTAGCAACATCATTTTTACGAAACAACTCTTTTCCCAAATCGATGTCATTAATGACCACAATTGGATCGCCGGACAACCAGAAGGTAAATATATTCCCATATTTTTGAGTATATTTATTAAACTCGTCAGTCCAGTGGTCTTTAGTTCCTTTTAGATCTGTTGGTCAAAATTTATTCAAATCAAATTAAACATGATTGATTATTTATAATAATTCATTATTAATCACTTACGAAAAATACTGCCGAGAAAGGGCACGGGTATGGGTCCGGGCGGCAGTTGATACACACGGGTATAAAATTTGGCCAATTTATACACAATATATCCAATTATTATGGATATAATGGCTGTGCGAATGTCCACCGAAATCATATGCAATAGATTCGTTAGAATTGACATTATATTGCTTTGGGACGCAAAGTGGTAAAAGTAAATATTTAATTGAATCACTTTAATAAGTTTATTGAGAATTAAATAATGAATATGAATGAAAACTTGCTTTATATTTATAGCTAGGAAAATAATGATTGCATAATAAAAACATTTAATACTTTGTTGATTAGATAAAATACTTATACCATATGCCATGGGGCATAATGTCCTAGGTGCACTTGGTATAATGCACCTAAATGATATAATGACACGGAACAAAGTATTACAGTACGTAAGCTTTAACAAACAAATAAGTTATTTATGCAAAATAATTTGACCATGCCCTTTCTGTACCAATTATGATAAAGATAATCAGTAGTGATATTACTGTACATTTTATAAACAACTTAATTATTTGAATTTCGTGCTGAATATCACGTATTTTGTGCTGAATATGTTAGATAAGTTAAATTGTTATCAAATTTTTCAATTTGGGTTAAATTTAGCTTAAATTTAATCTAAATATATCACTTTGTTTAATGAAATAAGGTAAAGCAATGAACAAAAATTTCAATAACATATCATTATTAGGATTAGAAAACCAGTTTTAAAGCCGTTGAAAAATTTGTTTTTCAATATCTTTTATCGAACTTAATTCAAATATCTTGATAAATATCTTGATAACATGTGAACAACACGTGTGTTTCATTGTATTAATTGTTTATTTCAAATATATTTATTTTGTTCAAAAATCTTTTTAATAAATTTAGTAATTTATCATTTTTATTAAACAATTATAAAATGAGTGTTTCTTTGATTGAAATGAAGAGTAAATTAAATGCAATGAAGAGTTTGTGTCGAATTAGACTGGATTTGTTGTTAAATTTTTTGCCACAATTTTCTTCATTACATTTGAATT